ATATTTCAAGAAATACCTAAGAATTTTTTTATTTATTTCTGCTTCTTTTCTGCTCAAGATATAATAGAAAACACAAAAGAATAAAAATCTATATTCATATTTTATTATACAGAATTGTAGTATATATTTTTCACGTAAAATTGAGAAAGTTGCAAATAAAGAGATATATAATATATTTAATAATATACATATTCCATAAAGTGTGTTCCATGTTTTTTAAAAATGCATTTCATACAGGGAAATGCATGAATAATCAAATGCATCTGAAATTTATATATTTAAACCTTTTGTCTTCATCAACACGTATTTTGTTTTAATACATATAATGAACATGCTTGTGATATTTTTGAAAAAAATTATAGTCCTATTCTTTTTTCGATTGATTCGAATCTATTTTATTATTAAAATATTTTAGGAAAAAAAAAATTTGTACATACAATATTCTAATGTATTTATTTTACTCACTTTTCTGAAGGAATTATATATAATACATTTAAAAAATATGCACCGTTACCTTTCATTTACAAATTGTAATTACCTTAATTAAACTGTAATTCATACATATATTTGATTTAGTAATGTTTTATTGAATACTAATTTTAGTTGCATTCATCTTTTTGAAGACACATTCTAGATGCTATATATTATAGATTAATAAGTCATGTTATAGCGCATTATCTGATGTAAAACAATAGTTTGTGATTTTTGTTGTAATTAGTTAGCTTAACTGAAATATAATTTTTACAATAAATATAGAAATGCATTTTTTTACATTATATATTTCATAATACTATTTTGATAATATATTTTATGTAATGCAGTTTTATACATATATTTACTTCATGTTGTTATAATATGCAACACATAATAAGGCATTAATAAAAGAATGTGTCCAATGCGTATCTTTCTATATGCTCTGCTAATTAGTAGATTTTAGATTTGTGTAATATTTCACTACCCTTGTTGAAAGAAACTATAATAAAAAAAAATTATTTCATTAAATTTATCAAATAATCCTTATTCATATTATACTCCTTCGTGGCCTCTTGTTTATTTGTTTTAATCTATTTTGATTTCGTTGTACTTTTATGAATTCTATCATCCATATAACCATAGAACTAATTAAATGACACCTATAAAATGTTCATTATTTCATTTTTAAAAAAATTATGAATTATAACGTTTCATATGTAATTTCAAATTATGATATTTTATAAATATGTGTGAAAAGGTATTTTAACCAAAATATATGTTTTGAATATATTTATTTAAAAAAATACAAACATTATAAAAAATAATGTAAAATCATATTAATAAATAAAAAAAATATACTTAAATATTAAGATTTTTTTCTATATTTTTATACTATATATGTTCGATGTCCGTTACAAAAAGCATATATTAAAAGAATGTTTAAAGATTTTTAATTTTATAATGATCTGTGTTATTAGATGTGATATAAATTTGTTCTTTTTAATATATAGAATATATGGTATAATACAATTATCTATTCTTTTTATGTACATTATTGTTTATTTTACATTTATTTATGATTAAATAATTATTAATAACTTCTCCAAGTAATTTTTACATATATAAGAATTTAAACCAAATTCATTAATGTGCAATGTTAGATGCTGTTGCAAAATATAGCAAGATAATTGAAAATTATGTCACAGGATATATATAAAAATATAAAATAATAATCACATACATATGTCTTATATTATATCAATAATTATATATATTAATGAAAAGAAGTAAAATTCTTTAGTATTACACTGTAGTCATAAAGAATAATAAAAATATTAATGCAAAAAATTAAGAAACACTATATTATAGAGTAAATTATTAAAAGTAAAAAGAATATACTTAATATGATATAAAGAAAAAAGGGAAATTAAATATTATATAAATAAAAAATAGTATTATATAATATATATTTATGATAACATGATATATCGTTAAAAAATAGTGATGTATACGAATGTGGTAAAGTCAGATATAAATATATGTCGCTATTTATAAAAACATATGTGTAAAAGAAAATATATACATATATAATGAATTATTATTTATATAAAAATGATTATATTATATTTAAATATATTTTAATAATATTTTTTTAGTACGAATGTGAGAAACATCGTAATCATTTGCCCTAATGTTGACTTATATCATAAAAAATTGAAAAAATAAGATATTGAATATAAATGAGCCTTATTAATAATGGTGTATTCTATTTAAATATGGAATGAAAGGAATATTATATAATAATATATTATAAAATGTTGTTTAATGCTGAAAGTGTTTATAGTAATGATTTTTAATTATTACAATTAATTTAAGGAAAAGTAACTTTTTTTAACATATACATTTTCAGCACAATAAATTTTTGGTTTTATTTCCTGTATATTATATTTCTAGTATTTCTATCTTTTTTTTTAATTTTATATTTTTGATACATTTTTTACATTATTACATAGACATAACTTAACAACTATCAAAATAATGATTTACAGAAGAATTTTTATTTAGCACATTTGGCATGTATATTTTCAATATTAAATAGAAAAAAAAATACATTTATAGATCTATGAATTAGGTTTTTACATAGACATTAAACGATTACATAATGTTGATTATTCTTATTACTTTAGAGAATATTATATTAATGATATATATTTCTTATGAATTGCATATTTTATATTTATAAATCATAAAAATATGTATATTATATATTACATGTGTTCCTTTTAGGAAGTTCGCATATGCATACGATATATATTTATATATTAAACACATTTTCCCTGTACAGATTCTTTATAAAATCAGTCAGAATCTAACATAACGATTAAATGTGTATATTATATTTCTTTGCATTAGTCATTATATATTAAATTAGAGTTTTACCTAATTTTTTATTAAGTAAACAATTTTCTCATTATGTTACATGTATTTATATAATGTGTTCCTTCTTTTTTTTTTTTTCTAATTTTATGCATAGATCATATAATCATTATTTACGAGTCTTTCGTCATTGGAATAATTTAATGAATTCATTTGAATGTTATACAAGGAAGGCTATATACGTAAATAAATATTTTTAAAAAAAACATTCTTTGTTATTATAGAGTGACATATTTATGTACAAGCTTCTTATTATCTGTAGAGATCATATATAATAGTTTTTTTAATAAAGTATTTTCATCATTAATTTTAGAAATAAAATAATATGTTACAGAATAATCATGATAAATAATTATATAATTGATTAAGTAATTTATCATGAAGGTAATTCAAATTTATAAATATATTTCTCTGTTATACAACATTTAGTTATATTGTAATAAATTAATTTTAAACTTTATCATGAGACTATTTTTATATAATAATAATCATAATAATATTTATTTTAAAGAAAAATGTACGTTGAATATGTTTATGTACATGGAACTAAAGAAAACATAACATATAATAAACGAATATTTTAATATATATGTAAAATTCCTAATAAAAATCGTATATTACTTATACCTCTAAATTCGTTATTTTATTGAAAAGTAACAATTTTTTAATAATAGGGAATATGTAAGATTGGAAAATAAATTTATTATGGTAGAAATGAGTAATGATAATTAATATTTTTAATTTCTTAATGTGAATATATCTTTTTATCAAAAAACAAAATTTTCATAAATATTAATTAACTGTTACACAAAATTATTGTGAGTAAACACGCTACATACTTATTATATAAAATTATTTTTTATATCATTAAATACAAAGTGAAAAAATGAGGACAAAGAAAAAAAATTTTATATAAAAAATATACTTTTTACATTAAATGGCCAAATATAAGGATCAATTCTTATATAAATGTCACATTTTATTCACATTATTGAATGCAAAATCCATGTGTTGTCATTGTATGCACTCAAAATGCTTCGTATGACACAATTAGTATGAATTATTTTGATATATACAATGTTCATAAATAAAATATTATTCAAATGTTATAAGAATTGTTTAATTCTTAAAAAATCCCAATTTAAATTATTTTATATATTCATTATATTATTAAACTAAAATTTTCTTATATTTATTTCTTTCATTTCTATAAAAACATATATTAATTGACAGGTCAGGGTAAATAAAAATTTAAAATATAGTATATGAATATTAATTGCTTAAATTACATGTCATTCACTTTAAACACCACTTTAGTATATGTTTTCTCATCATAGTGTCTAAATTTCTAATAAATTAGTTTACGGAGAGTAACTATATACTTCACGTATATGAGTTAAATAAAAAAATATAAATATAATTCTTTGAGTGTTATATATTATTGTAATTTAAATGTATTATATGTCTTACTTATTATTACGTCCATTATTACGTTTAACAAATATTATTGATATCCATTTTACGCAAATGATAATAACCCACTTTAATAAGCTTATATCATTTATTATATAAGAGAAATAAAATAAAAATAAAAAATTATTATTATATGATCTAATGTTTTATATAGCTTTAATTAAATCATACATATCACAATAAAAAATGCAAAAAGGAAATAATGAAAATTATTAAGTATATATTCATATTAATAGAGTATAATAATATAATATTATTTTTTGGTGTTTATATTATATGTAAAATTATATAATTTTTATATTTTAGACAAATGTTATGCTCTATGAGCATATTTCCTTTTTTTATTTTAATTTTTCTGAATAATTTTTATATTTTTTTTCTGTTTATAATAAAAAAATATGTTATATATTATAATTATTACAATATGCTTACTTATGTTTAAATTTTTAATTGTCACGGTATAAGTTCATTTTTTAGATCAATTCAATACTTAAAAAAAAACGATAAAAATTATATACTTCATTCTTTGCATTATCATGTTAAAGAACACTATAGACATTTACATGTATTTCATTGTTTTATCAAGATATTTTGTAAAAAATATAATTATATAAAAGATGAATAATGATAATGTACAATATTATATAATATATATTACTTATTATCACATTTTTATATATAATTTTTTAATAAAACTAATAAAAAAATATTAGTATATTACAATTTTATCATCCAATAATTTTTTATTTCTTTCTAGTTTAAAATTGTAAAAGAGTTTCCAAAATTTGAAGAAATTATGAATAATTCCCAAACAGAGTGTAATAGTTGGAATGCTGATAATTTTTCACATATAACCGATGAAAATTATCCACATTTTAAAAATTATGTTCAAAGCATATGCGAAAAGTTTGACAAATATACATGTACTATACAACATCATAGAGGGACAAGCGTGACTTACAATTCCAGTTGCAAATATTTGTATTATTGGTTATATCATTATAATAATAATGAATGGAATATTGATGAAGTTAAAAAACTTTATGATGCATTGATCTCTGCTGATAGTACATCCCATCAACATTTATGCAAAACTTACAATGTCACTACTATTACAGAAGATGTAATGCCAAAGCTCAAAGATCTGCATGACATGTACACTAATCTAAATATTTTAGAGAAAAATAGTAGTTCTCAATATGAAGATAAATGTAAATGTGCTAAGGATTGCGCTGAACTATATATGAAATACAAGAATTCATGTGAATCCAATAATTATTTTGATCTTTGTAATGAGTTAATATATGTTAGGGAAAAATATAACGAACTAAGTACAACTAAATGTTACGACCAATTAACTTATAAAACGTTACCTTTGTTCAAAAAAAATAATATAACAGTTCCTATTTTAATTACAATTTTTTTGATATTAATAATATCAATAACCTTATTTAATCTGCATAAAGTAATTATTATATTATGTATATATATTTATTGCACAAAATTAATTTGCTACATAATTATAAAAAGAATCTAAATATAATATTTATTTAAAATATAATTTTTTTTATTAACTAGTTTACCCCATATAATTCATGCTTTCAAGGAACTTTAAGAAGAAAACGAAATAAGTGGAATAATATAGATAATGATTATAATATATTTCAATCGTACAAAAATGTGAGTAGTGCTGCTTTGAAGAGTAGACACCATATTTTATATCATATATTTTAATTCTTCCATTATATACATTAAACGTTGTAATTATTTGATTAAACGAAAATAAATAGTAATAAACAATAAATATGCGAAAATCCTCTTATAATATATTATATAAACGTATACCAATAATTTTAGTAAAAAGCTTATATTAATTTTTCTATATAGAATTTAAAATTTTCAAAATAAATAATCTAATAATATCTAAAATATATCTCTTTCTTCAATGAACTATGTATAAGAACAAAATAAGTGACACCATATCCCCTTTTAATATACAGTAGATTGCGTGCTTAATTAGATTATAAGTTATAAAACACTAAAATATAAACAAAATGATAATACAAAATATATATTTATATAGTACTACACACGAAATTTATAGATTAGTATTATAATGCAATAAAGAAAAAGTGATTAATTTCTATATACATCATGTAAATACATAATATATAATTATTGAAATGCTTCATATATTTATTATGTATATTTATGATTAATTTTGCGTATGTTTTTTTAATAATAATTAGTATATATTTTAATAAGAAGAATTTTTTGTGTTTACATATTTCTTTTAATAATTAAGGGATGCTTACTTCATTTACGTTTATTAGTACTATAAATGAAATATTAAAACATATAAAATGTTGGTTATATTGTGCATAATTTATCATACCTTTTTTTTGTGCATTAGATCATGTGAATCCTTATTATAAATTATATACTTCTATAAATTGTTAATTTCAAGTATCAGATCTGCAAAAATGGTTAAAAAAACTGAAATATTTTATTTTTTTTAACGAAGGAATAAATATTAAATATATGAAATAATAAAAGACCATGAAAATTATTTGAATTATATAATATTTTGTACATACAAAATTTTATATTTATTATTTATTTTTAAATATTTTTTTAATTTCAAATACTAATACACTAATGAATTATATAAATGCTTAAAACTGTTAGCTTTTCCACTCTTATTGATAATTAAATTATATTATATATATTCTTTATTTTAAAACAATGATTTAACATCACATAAACATGTGGACAGAGACTACTGTTTTTTCTTAGTACATTATTTTCTCCATAACATAATAAATAATTTCTTAGTATTTTCTTATATTGTCACATTAAGATCCATGATTTTCTTGCAATCTCTATATACATATATATTTTGAAATTATAGTTTGTCTCTAGTTCTCTTTAAAATAAGTATATAATATAAGAATTATATATATAATGCTAACAAAAATTTTAGTATTATTTTATATAAAAGATATATTTTAAGTAAAAATTTTATTTTAATAAGAATAATACAACTATATATTCAATAAATAATACATATTCTCATTATAATGAATGTATAAATTACAATTAATAATTCCCTGAATATATTGACATATTAAGGATTATTGTTTTTCAATCCCTTATAAAAATAATATAATTCTTTATTTTCCTTATTCTTTTTTTTTACATAACAAATGCAATCAAAATTTTATACGTTATTAAAGGAAAATAAATAATAATTACACCCAAATCTTCATATAAAATATATATTTTAATAATAATATAACGTTCACACAAGTTTTTAGATATACGAAATATGCATGACGACATTTAAGTATTAATATAATATGCTACGACAATGTTTTTCCAGTGAGCAAATAATATTTCATCATTATATTATATTTTATTTTTATTCACAATATAGATGATAATAAATGATTGTGAATAAAAAATATGTTTCATCTTTTTATAATATTATAATTTATTTATTTTTTATTTAATTAAATCATAATATATCAAAAATATAATTCCATTGAAAATTTTTATTTTAAATTAGGAATATTTATAAGGCATTCTAATGATTTACCTGACGAAAATATATTGTCAACATATAAGTAAAGCATCATTTATGGTGAATATAAAATAATATATATTTAGATTAGTCCATAGGAACTATAAGGATATGTATATATTATGAAAAAAATTACATTATATATATTAAAATTGATACATAAAGCAGCCCATTTTTTACATAATTTGCGAATTTTTAAGTATTGTAATAACTATAAATTAATAATGTTTAATATTTCTCTAATGTATTTTATATGAAAATAAATAACATAATTGCAATGTTTATAATATACCAGTATGTGTTTTTCATTACATCAGGTTTTAGAAATATGTTAGAAATTAAAAAAAAATTAATAGGTAATAAAAAGATATTAAACTTAATAAACGAATAAATGATAATAATACAACATTTAATGATGTATACATATATAAATAATTTATATAATGTGAATATATATTATTCATAAAATCTTTTTATGTAAAAAAAAAATTTCATAAATTTTTATATATTACATTGATTATGACACTGAACTTTATGTATATTAAGCGTAGGTTAAATAATATATATGCTTTAGATATATAAATTAAAAGTGTATAATATTCATAAAAGGAAATAATTTACATTTACATTTTATAATAAACATAGAATAACGGTAAAAGTGAATTCATATTTTTCCCTTAATAAAAATCTATTCACATATTTCCATATAACGCATTGTTGATACTTTTATACACTGAACTATATAATAATTATGTATAGAAGAAAAAAATATATATATTAATATAAGACAAAAAGAACATGAATTAGACTTCAACGATGAACACTAAGTGTGAATCCTATAATATGAACCATATATTCTTGCTTTGTACATTCAAATATTTATTATTTTAATTGTATACATTACAGAGAGGAATATGCTTATATTAAATTTCTCATGATTTGAACTTTTATATATTATATTACAAAATACTAGTAATTCTTATTTTAGGATATTATAGAAATAAAAGCTATATAATATAAATTAATTGTAAAAGCACGAAAACAAGAATTTTATGCAAAAAATAGTAATTATTTGCTATATGATAAGTTTATTTATATATTGTGTGCATATATTTATCCAACCTATATATACATAATGTGTGAAGTAATATTAAAAAGATAATAATTAAATATATATTTTATTATAATTTAAAAATAATTTAATTTATATTCTCATTAGGTATTTTATACAGTAGCGAAAATAAATAAATTAATATTTTTTCTTCAGACAAATAATTATATGTATTTTTTTCAATATATATGAGATCAGGAAATATATATTTACAATATATTAATATTAATAATATATGGACGAATAATACCAAGAGATAAATACTATAATATGAACAACTATTTGAATAATACAATTTAAATTTTTAGTTATTATGTACTTGTTTTATATAACTTTTTATATATTTCTTAAAAATTTATAAATATATTAGTAATTTTTTTTTATGTAATTTATTATAAGGAAAAATATAATGATAAAGGTAATTTTTGTTCTAGGCTTAATAATATTATGCTTATTATATATTTATATTATGTCCGTGATATGGATACGTGATATAAACCGTATTGATTTAAACATATATATACAGTGTAATGTACTGTATTATTTTATTTCGTAGAATATTTTTCAATCAACACTTTCTTCTATTGCTTTTTATATATTACAGTTTTCATCAGAAAAAAACATGTTATTATGTACAGCAGAAAAAGATATGATGCTATTTATCCTTACGTAGGCAAAATTTTAAAGCTATATGTTAAATATGTGAACTCATGGCATCCAGAAATTTGAAGAAATATATGTGTGATAATTTTTGTTATTGATTAGGAGGTTTTATTTGTTTTTTATACTAATAATATATTTTTATTCATCATAGACTGAAATATTTATTTTGGAGGTATTTAGATAAAACCATTATTTATTTTATTTAATATGCATATGCACATATTTACGTTTATAAGTAGAAAAAAAAAATAAAATTTAATATTTGGAATTGTATTTATTATGGTTTAAATATACATATATTAATTTCTCTTTATAAAAAGAAATGAAATATTTTTTAATTAAATATGTGCATTACTAAAATATTTTTGACGAAAATGATTTTCAAGTATGGACAAAATTAGGAATATTAACATTTGGTGTACTATTATTTTATTTTTATTTGTACATTAATTTTTATTTTTTTGCATTTTTTAAAAATAAAATTGTTTTTTTTTTTACTTATATTATCTTATATAAATGCTAAATTTCCTATAACTTATATGTTATTTTTATAACAGTATTACAAATATATAAATTTCTTTTAACTTGCATTTATATTGAGAATGCATACTTTAATATATGCTTATTTTATTTTATCTTTTCATACATTAAAATAGTTAATAAACATGCTAAATGTTAATAGAATTATGTATATTTATTTTATTTACAATTATATATAATTATAATTTGTATTCTAAGAAAAAAATATTTTAATTATTGAAAAGATGACTCAGAGAATTTGAACTCATGACATAATCATTTATAAAAATATTATGCATTAAAATAAAATATGTGCTATTTTTATATTTTTCTTTAATGTATGGAGATATGTAGAGTAATTTTGCGAAGCACACCAGAAATAATAAAATTTTATAAATATAGATTAAAAGACAAAATAATAAAGAAAATTCCATTATGTTAACTAAATAAAATTGAATAAAAAAACATAACAAATAAATTATATATTTTCATAGTTTTCTTTTATAACCTCAATGAACATGTAATTAACCAAAATTCACACATTAATATAATTATCATGAGGGCATATAATAGGGTTAACATTAAAAAATATAATGTGGATCATAAATGTTATTATAATTTAAAAATAATTGTTAATCTTTATATATTAATTGGTAATGGCCTTTTTAATAAGTCTTTGTAACAAAACAGAATGATACATTAATGAAAATAATTTATATCATGTATTTTAATTGATTTTCACAATCTATAGTAAGAATATTCAATAATATATTACCTTATGTAGAATATTATTATTTTATTTATAATATAGTGTATAATAATATTTGATGAATTTTTTCTTTTAAAGTATGGAATATT